TTTTGCTGTTCTCTGCCTAATGCCGTTCTTCAAGAAGCCCTTGAGCTTGCTTAGGACCTCTCATTTCCAAAGCCAGGGTGTTCCGCTTGAGTTTGTGGTGGTGTCCGCAGGATGTTTTGGGTCGGGCTTGTCCCCGGATTGCTGCTTGTAGTGAGCGGGTGGGTGGTATCAGCCTAGGCGATGCACTTAGAGGGTATTTGCAATGGCAACCTGGTCTCGTTACTTCCTGGACTGGCCAGCGGAGAGGGGCTGGGTGACTTTCTGCACATTGCGTCACTCTGTCACGACCCATCTTGTACGTTGGGTGTTTGTGAGCTGCGGGGCATGTCAGCGCAGCTCAGGAGGCCTGGGTTCTGGTCTTCGCTGTGTATGTGCAAGTCGGTAGCTGTCTGAGTTTCACAAGAGGTCTCCCCAGCATCTGATAGGAGGGAGGTGCGGCGAAGCTCCTTCCTTTTTGAATCATGGTGACTCTGGTTTCCCAGCTTCCTCTCTCGCCCTTTCTCCCGATAGGGATAGCACAGCAGCAATGTCAGCCAGCACTGAGACGTGGAAGCTGCAGGGCAGGCAGGCTGGCGGCTGGGAGGCTTTCCTGCCCCATCGAGAGGCAGGCACGGGCTCCGCATTCTTGCGGGAGCGTTGGGAATCTATGTTATCGTCCTTCGGAGCGAGCCGGAGCATGATTCACCAGAAAGTCCTCTGGGAACGCAGTGGGGTTTCAGGTTTCTTGACCTATCAGCTAGCAATTCCAGGATTGGGAATATGTCAACCCAGCCTCTCCTCGCCTGGAGCTTCCTCCTTCCCCCTCTGCTGCTGTTCAGACCATACCGGAGGAGACTTACTGAAAGCAGTTTCTGTTGGTTTTTTTTGAGGTTTCTTGTCTGCTAAGGTCCCAGTCTTTGATTTAAAGCTGTGGCTTTTCAGATGCGCGGGGCGCAAATACTCTCTGCATTTAGATGTGGTGCTTCGTTCAACAGAGCCATTTATTGGGCCTTGTAAGCCTCCCTCCCTGCGCGAGGTAGGCTGGGTTGTTCCCCCGTTTAATGACAGGGGAATCGAGGCACCCAGAAACAGTACATCTTGCTCAGGGTCACCCGTGGAATCGGTGGCAGCAGGGGAGGGGGGTAGAAGCCAGGAGTCTCGGCTCCTTGCTTTAACCACTGTGAATGAACTTTGCTATTGTCTTTAAAACTACTGGGCTGGAGTGGGTGTGTTGCTAAATTGCAGAGGGAGCTAGATTGCTGTGCAATCTCCTTTTTGTCATGTTCTTTTCAAGATGTTTTGGATCGTTTGTCTCCCTGTGTCAGTGTATCTACTTTCTAATTAATTCTCTTCTGTGGCCCAGATGTGTGGCATGCCTGCTGGAATCTAGTTTGAATCTAGGGGCGTGTGTAAGGAGTTTACAGCAATCAAGATGCCTATTGGCATGCTGCAACCAGACAGATGGGAGGCCAGGGTGGATCCCCACTATGCATCTGCAACAGGATCCAACTGTTGCTACCCCCGAAAGCAGGGCAGAATCCACAGGCAGCTGCTTCTGGCATTTCTCCCGTTAGGAACTGCGAGGTCGGTCTCAGTGAAGACTGGAAGAGGAGGGCTTCCTAAGGCTGAGCCAGGGCCTCCCACCAGCCCAGGGTGGCTTTCCACCCTGTGGCTAGCCAAGGCAAGGCATTGGATGTCCTCCCTGGAGCACCAGCCTACTCCCAAAATGAAGGAAGAAGATCAAGATGCCCCAAAAATGTAACGTTCTGGAGGGACCTCGCAGCCAGTGAGACTCATCCACGCTGCAGGCAGCATCTGAAGGTTTCATCGTGGCAGCTGCCAGGTCCTTTGGGATCGATGCGTGTGTTCCCTGCAATTTGACCTGAGAACTAGAGGGGTAGGGGGTGCATCTCAAGCGTTAGTCTCTGGACTCTGCAGGCATGGTCCTAGCGGGGCCCCGGTTTCCTTCCTCCCTCCCCAGGGTATTCGCATGCCCATGCTGTGCTGTACTAGGGTTATGCTGCAATGCTGCTGAGCGTTCACATTTTCGGTGAAGCACCTTGGGATCTCTTTTGAATGCAATATCGTGTCAGTGCAGACGTGCCACAGGCAGACCTGCATCTCCCAGTCTGTTGTCGTTATGGATGGTGGCCGTAGCACCTCCTCGGCTGGTCTAGCCGAGCCCTGGTGTCAGTGGGTTTGTGACCCTCAGGACTGCAGTGCGATGTGTTGTGAAGCTCGCCGAGTGCGGCGCAGCAGGCGGGGGCTCTGGGCCACCAGCAGCGGGAGCTGCTGCAGGGCTTGCTTTCTGGAATGCTGTCTGGCAGCAGCCTCTTCCAGCGGGGCTGAAGGCTCCCTGCGGCTGGCCAGCCAGCGGCTGCAGGCAGTGTGTGTGCTTAACGCTGCAGCTTGTGCCATATGGACCTTCTCCTCCTCCCCGCTTGCCCTCTCCATGTCTCCTTCCTCGCTCTGCTCCCCTCCCCCTGCGAGCGGTTTGACAGAGCAATTGGGCAGGCACTGGGACGGCAGCTCTGACATAAATCTCTCCTGGTGTGGAATGAGGGGTATAAATATCCAGAGAGTGATGTGATCTTTCCAGCTGCTATTAATAGGTCCCTGGAGAACAAGAGCGAGTGAGCGAGACTGGCTGACACTTAAAGGGCTAGCAACTCCCTTATGCGCTGTGAAAATTAATCAGCGCTGTGGCTCACCATCTTCCTCCAGGCTAGAGCAGAGCCCTCGCCGAGGTGCGTGGGGAGGAGGCGGAGGAGGAGGAGGGAGCAACTAACGACTCGCTAGTTAGGAAACGGTGATAGGCCAAGCTGTGCACGAACGATCCCACTAACTAACTAGGAATGCCTGGGCGGGCTGTGCGATAGTGCTGTTTGTGCAGGCTGCCCTTGGTCGGGCGCCGTGGCGTGCCAGCCAGCCACTGGCTCAGCCTTGCCTCGCAGGGAGGCAGGTGCTGAGAAGTCCCTTTTGCAGGCAGGGCGCTCGCTGGTGGTGGATGGCAAGCTGCAGCCTGCGCCTTGTGGCGATCGCTGTCTTTGGGGGATTACAGATCTGCCAAGTGTGCTTTGCTCTTTGCTTGTGTGCTGTTCTGGGTGCGGTGTTTCACCCTAGCGGAGCGAGCGCTTGAGTTTTGCCAGTGGTATATCTTCAGGCCCGCCTTCGGCAAGCCAGGAGCAGCGTGCGTACTGCTGCTGAGCTCCTGCGGCGCTATTTAGAGATGCGGGGTTTGGTCTGGAGCCGGTGCTTCCTGTCCCTGGGTGGCAGAAGAAATCTGTGCGCAGCATCTGGCCTGCGTGGTCCAGATGGGAGAAGCAGACCACAGGCCCAGAACCCCCGTGTGCTGGGAAATTTATTTGCCTGCACACAGGAAAGGTTCTTGAGTGCATTGTGGGGGTGTCATGCAAAGCACATAGCAGATGTAAGCAAACAGAGAGTAATACCTCAACTTCCATGGACACGTGGTTTACTCTTCTTCCCCCCTGCTCCCCGAGGAGTAGAGCAGGCTGTGACAGGCAGTGGGGGTCTCTGCAGCTTGGAGGGCACTGGCTGGGGGTAGTGAGGAGGCTGTAGCAGAGGAACGTGGGGCCCCTGATGCAGGAAGAGTTACGTGCTCTAGATGAAAGCAACCCAGGAGTAGTTCTCATGGGGGCGTGCATCCTTCTGAGCTGGGACTGTCTCTGAGGGCTTAGCAGAGAATGTGGTTCAGGCCAGGAAGTCGGTGTGTAAGAGCTGTCCATGTCCGAAGGTCAGGGACGTCCTCTGCCTGCTCCGGTAGCCCCTGAGGTGAGGCTGGCTGATGTCCCACACTGCCTGTGCCATGCTGAAGAAGGCTACTTGCTGCAAGTAGGAGGTACTTTTAGGCCAGGAGGGATGAACCCTGCAGTTACCAGGCTTGTCTGTTGAACTGAGGGTTGGTAGCAGCCTTCCAGAGCACGCAATGTGCTCAGGTACTGTGGAGCTGCATCCCAGTCATCTCTAATGCCCATGCGGAGCTCCAAGGGGAAGAATCCCAGCGCGAGCCTAAGAGACTCTGCCAAGGCAAATAGATCCTGCAAGGAGGGCTGCTGCAGCATTGCTCAGCTGTGTGCACGTCCTCCGGCCCAGAAGCCTGCGCGCTCTGCCCTAACTGCCTCTTCCCTGAAACTCTCTGCCTCAGCCTGCGGGGCTATTCAGAAAGCTGGGTTGGGTCTGGAGCAGGAGAGCCTCACCCTGCTATCCCGGCAAGCCTGTGGCACGTTGCATCATCCTGCTGGGCTGGAAGCTGCCACTGAATTGGACGTTCCCTCACTCAGGGCCTTGGAGCGGGAGCCGGAACTGTCCCTCAGGCCCCTGGGAGAGACAGGGATACCGCTTAGCTGATGAGTGCCTGCACTTCCCAGCTTTGCCCTTGCCCTGCAACCCACCGCCTCCTTCTCCTCATCTGCCTCAACCTTCTTAGTCCTCCCCTGCCCCATCCCAGCTTTCTCTTTATAGGCTTGCATCAGGACCATTTTTTGTCTGCTCAGTTGTCTCCTGCCTGTTTTGCAGAGCAGAGGAAACTTACTCAGCAGCAGAAGGGATCCCTGAAACCAGTAGGGCCCCAGATTTCTGTTCATAGTCGCAAAGTTGTCTGAGCTCTGGGAACACCTGCAAAATAGCTCTAAGGGTCCTTCTGCTCACCAAAGGGCCTGGCTGGCATGGGGCACCCCATTCTCGTCATGGCCTCAGAAACGAGGGCTCTCATGTCCGTGCCTGTGCCTTGGAGCGCTGGCAAGCCTGCCAGGCCTGGGTGGGAGTTTGCCGCTTCTCCGCACGCAGCTAACTGCGGAGCAGGATCCTTTGCTTGAAGAGGCCAGGGCTAATTCCCAGCACGAGCAGCTCAGGGTTGTGCCCTGCTGCAGGTTTTGTCTGGCCCTGCAACCAAGCAGCAACCCCAGCACCCTGGTCCTGGGCAGTGCCCCTGGCAGCTGTGCCCGTGCAAGGGGCACTGTGCTCACTCCCTGCCCTCTTCTCTTGCAGGTTTCTGACCGAAGGGCCTGGGAGCTCCCTCCACTGGCGCTGTGGGAAGCTTTAGCCAATCCAATGCACCCTGACAACAAACTGCCCAGCCATGGCAAGGCAGGCAGCAGCGGTGCCCCGGCCCAGCACCACAACGTGAGCCAAGCACCCACCTGCAACCTGGGCTCTAAGGGTGTGGGGGCGGGCAGCCATGGCAGCAAGGCCACTCAGATCTCCCCTGGAAACTCTGGACTGAAAAACAGCCAGAACACTGTCCCAAACTTCAGCTCCTTGAAGGGCAAGGTGAAACGGGAACGAAGCATCTCGGTGGACTCCGGAGAACAGCGAGAAGCCAGCACCCCTTCACAGGACACAGAATCAAAAGGTAATACTCTCCTAAACCTTGCCTCAGCACGTCCTCCTCGCAGTTGCTCCAAGCGTCCTGGCAGGACCTGTGATGGGAGCAGCTGTGAGCATCTTGGGTTTCTGTGCTGCGGCTTCTGTCTGGGCTTGTCCTGGCTGCCTGTGCATCTTTGCATCACTGCTTGTCACATCCGTGGTTTTGAGACCAGAGTGGATGAGCATTGTCTTTACATTTCATCCCCTAACCTGTGTGCTGCACTGAGAATCTGGGACTCTGGTTTCCACAGGCTAGTGAGGCCAGCTAAGCAAGAGCATGGCTCACTGAAACTGCACCAAACAGCTCTGCTTTGCAACGTGCAGACTTTCAACTTGGGACCGAGTTGAGTTGTTTTCCGTCTCCTTGCTGTTGGCAAAGAGCTGCCTTTGTGGTGTTCTTGCAGCTGCCCGACGACTCAGTCGTGGTTAGCGAGGAGGTGCTGCGAGGCTTGCTGTCTGAACAGTTCTGTGGTTTCATCAGCAATGGATGACTCTTGTGTTACAGCACGTGGCTTCTGGAAAAGGGCTGAGTCAGTGCTTCCAAACCCTCTGGCTTCCCTGTCCTCACCAGCCTTCCCTGTAGCCTCTTGCGTTCCACTGAGCTCCATGTTCAACGGCTGCATGGGATGCTTGAGCATCTTGCAGGGGGTTGTCGAAGGAGAAATCCCAGCGGTGCCCTTGGTTCCAACCAAGACTCGCACCTGGTCCCCAAACGCAGAGACACTGTTCTGGCTCGTGCCCCTAAGCATTTAGTTTCACAGCCAAAGCTTTTTTGCCAGACTGGCTTAGGCCAGAGCCGTGCCTGGAAAGAATGGGTAGAATGTACCTGAACAGACCTCCTGTCCCCAGGAAAGCTTTCTCCCCATTGTCTTGGGGGGTTACTGTATGCCACTGATCATAAGCATTTGTAGTTTTATCCCAGTACTGTCTTGTAGCCCAGACTTCCGCAGGAAAATTATTAAAACAGCTTCATCAGGAATGCCCAAATTTCCTATGTTCCTGCTGCAGTGCACTGATAGATCTTGTGAATGTGGCCTGGAAACTACTAGATGATGTAAAAAAGGGAGGCCTGACAGCGTTATATTAGAGTTAAAGCACAGGACTGGAATTTACCCACCCTGTGTCTGATTCCTTTCCCTGGGTGCCTTTAGGCAAGCCACCTCCTCTCTGAGCTGCATCAGCCCCATCTGAGAAACAGAGGGAGCATCTGAGTTTACAGAGGGCCTAAAGGCCCCTGCCTGATTGATGTCTGCCAGGGGCAGAGGCTCTCTGTCTCTTGTCCTACAAAGGATGTGAACATGCCCTCCCGTTCTATTTTCAGGTTTTAATTGCTAGATCACAGACCCCTTAAATTTAGGGTTAATGTCCAAAGCTCTCCAGTTTGGAACAGCAGTTGGACATGTCCTGTGTTTGCAGACTCCTTTCAGATGGTAAGAAATATATCTCATTCTGAATGGCTAGCTCTCACAGGGGAGTCTCACCAGGTCTGGCTGCAAAGTCAAGGAGCCCAGACTGAGCAGATGCTTCAGGATCTTTACCAGGGCTGGGCAGATGTCGGTGTAAGGCTTCTTGCCCAGTGCATCCTGGCTGGGTTGGCAGTGCCAGCATGCAGCACGCAGCTGAGCACGGCCCCAGTGTTCCCAGCCCCTGCCAGGTCTCCTCAGCTCTTCTGATGGCTCTGTCCCTTTGCAGGTGAGGTGGCTCCTCGTAGCAAGCGACGGTGCGTGCTGGAAAGGAAGCAGCCATACAGTGGGGACGAATGGTGCTCTGGGCCAGACAGCGAGGAAGACGACAAGCCCATCAGCAGTGCACACAGTGAGTGTCTACCTCCTTACCAGCTCAGAAGCTTGAATAAAGCCAGGTCCTTCCTGCAGCTCAGCAGGGCAGATGGCACTGGCACCTCTCGCTTTGCCTTTGTGTGCTGACTTAGCTGGGTGTGTGGTGTGGTGGGCCATTGCCGGTCCACCATTGGCGGTCATTGTGCTGGGAGAGTGTTTGCAGCCACGCAGCGAGGTGTGGGACCTACTTTGTGGAGATGCTGCCGAGATGCTGGAGGAGAAGGCGTTGAGGTTGAACGTCCCTGCTGTACATTGCTCTGGCCACACTAGCACCAGAATTACCAGGCAGCCAGACCATGTGACACGTGTTGCCCTTGTTGCGGCAGCTAATTCTGTGCCAGGCCATCCACCTGGCTCTCCGCAGTTGTGCTTTAAAGGCAACTGAGTCTAAAGAGGCTCTCAGGGTCTTGACAGTGGGTCAGGCAGGACTGAGCTGGTCAAGGTGTGCACCATTTGGGGCAACAAACTGTAGCTCTCTCCTGTTTTCCAAAAGCATCAAAACTTTGAGTTTTTGGCATCTAGAATTCAGTTTCGGGTTGCAACAGGGAGAAAATTTGAGAGAACAGGACAAGGTCCTGTGGGGCCCAAGGGCTGCAGCTGATGGAGACCATGGAAGTGTATAAAACCAAGTAAAGGGCGGCCTTTGTACCTGCCAGTGCACTGTAGCCATCCTCTCCAGGATGTTCCCTTGTGCTCCTCTGCACCCTCCACAACCGTGGTGGGAAGGGATAGTGTGGCCTCCCTGTCGCGGCCCGGGCCAAGATCTGCCTAATTAGAGCAGGTCAGGGTGGGGCTGTCCAGGGGCAAGGGCTGGCAAGTGAGGCAGGACGTCGTCGTAGCGTGACGCCAGATTGCCAGTGATGTCTCTTCTCTTTAAATGCTGCTGTGCCGGGGTTGGGCTGCTGGGGCTGGTGTTCAGCGGGTCTGCCGGGAGGAGAGCAGGTGAGCAGGTGAGCCTGCCTTGGGGGATGCAGTGTGGGGGGCTGCGTGTCTGTGCGTGCGTGGCGTGCGCGCGTGTGCGTGGGTGCGCAGGTGAGGAGCTAGGCAAGAGAAGGGCACCGCATGCTCCTGGTAATGGCAATGCTTACTAACGTTAATTAGGAATATTATTTCGTAACGGCTGACGATTAACAGGCACCGCTCCCGTGGACGGCATCCCCCCTTCCCCCCCCGGCTCCCGCGGTGCCCGTCCCGCGGCCGCGGCCCGGGAGAGGCCCCGGTGCTGGGGGACCGGGAGGAGGCGGCCGCGCCGCCCCGGGCCAGTGGCCACCCAGGCGGCGGAGACGGCCGGGCGGGTGCTGCCAC